AAGGGTCGCAAAGAGGAGACAAGTCAGTCAAGGTGCAGTGTAGCAACGATGAAATATACAACTTTCCTCTAGTTCCTAAATGCTCCCCCCCTCCCAATTCATGATCTCAATTCTACCTTACAAATCTGGCTAGACCAGAGGATATACACTGGTACAGATAGGAACTGGAATCACAGGGAATTCAGGACAGATGCTCCCTTCAGAACCAGTGCTGAGAGTGGCAATACCCTGAGGTTGGAGGGAGGGTGGGGTAGAAAGGGGGAACCGATTACAAGGATCTACATATAACCTTCTCCCTAGGGGATGGACAACAGAAAAGTGGGTGAAGAGAGACATCGGACAGTGTAAGTAAGATATGACAAAATAATAATTTATAAATTATCAAGGGTTCACGAGGGAGGGGGGAGGGAGGGGAAAAAACGAGGAGCTGATATCAAGGGCTCAAGCAGAAAGCAAATGTTTTGAGAATGCTCATGGCAACAAATGTACAAATATGCTTGACACAATGGATGTATGTGTATGGATTGTGATAAGAGTTGTACAAGCCCCCAAAAAAATGATGAAAAAAAAAATAGACCCAAGCCAATGAAACAGAATTGAGACTCCAGAAATAAACCCACACATTTATGGCCAGGACCAATAAAGAGAGTAGAGATACCAGGAGGGGAAGGGGTAGATGGGGGGAGAAAGGGGGAACTGGTCTCAATGATCTATATATAATCCCCTCCCTGGGGACAGACAACAGAAAAGTGAGTGAAGGGAGACAATGGACAGCGTAAGACATGGAAAAATAATAATTTATAAATTATCAAGGGTTCATGAGGGAGGGCCAGGGAGGGAGGGGAAAATGAGGAGCTGGTACCAAGGGCTCCAGTAGAAAGCAAATGTTTTGAGAATGATGAGGGCAACAAATGTACAAATGTGCTTGACACAATAGATGGATGTATGGATTGTGATAAGAGTTGTACGAGCCCCCAATAAAATGATTTATAAAAAAGAGAGAGAGAGAGTATAGTTTAGAGTAAATGTTTAGGATCTTCATTTAGGGAATGGATTGTTAGCTATGGCACCAAAAGCATGACAAATAAAAACAAAATATCTAACTTGGACTGCATCAAAATTTAAAACTTTCATATATCAAAGGACATGATCAACAAAATAAAGAGACAACCTACGCAGTAGGAGAACCATTTTGGAAACCATATATTGGATAAGAATTCACTCTCTAGAATACAGAATTTCTATAGCTTACTAACAAAAAGGCAATGGTTATAGATTGAATTGTATCCTCCACAAATTTATGTCAACTTGGCTAGGCCGTGGCTCCCAGTATTTTATGGTTGTTCTCCATTTTATGACCCAAGACTTTTAGGCGTTGTAAATTCTAGCCTCAGTGCCTAGAGTTATGATCCCTTTGGGGAGCGAGGTGTCCTTTGTGTTAAGACTGCATGACTAAATGATATCAATGAGGATTAGGGTGGGATGTACTATCCTTGCTCAGTCACATCTTTTACCTTACAAGAGCCAGAGAGAGAAGTGAGCAGAGAAGAGGAATTTCAGTAACATTAACAAAGAAGAGCCAGGAAGAGACACAAACTTCGGATTTAGAGTCCCTGAGCTGAGAACCTCCCAGACCCAGGGGAAGATTTATGCCAGGGCACATGGTTATCTCCGAGGGATGCCAGTCCCACAGATATTGGAAGGAGAAAAGGCCCTTCCCCTAGATCCAACAAAAAGAGAAGGTCATTCCCTAAACTGTAAGAGAATAAATTTCTATTTGTTAAAGCCATCTACTTATGGCATTTATGTTATAGCAGCACTAGATGACTAAGACAACGACTCAAGGAAAAAAATGGGCAAAAGACTTGAATTAGCATTTCACTGGAGACATATAAATGGCCAACTAACAAGTGAAAAGATGCTCAATGTCATGAGTCATTATGAAAATGATAAAACAAAAAACAGATAATAACAGGTGTCAGCGAGGAAGTGGAGTAATTGGATTCCCTCATCCATTGGTGGGAGATTATACATGACACATTCATTGTGGAAAACATTTTGATTATTCTGGAAAACATTAACACGCCATTACCATAAACAAAAAAGTCCCTGCCATTGAGTCAATTTCAACTCATAGAAACCCTATAGGGCAGGGTTGAATTGCTTCTGTGAGTTTCTGGGATGGTAACTCTTTACGGGAGTAGAAAGTTGTGCCTTTCTCTCATGGAGCTCCTTGTGATTCTGAACTGCTCACCTTGCAGTTAGCAGACCAACTAATAACCACTACGCCCCCAGGGCTCTTCTTCAAACTCCACTTAGCAATTCTTCTTAGCAGTTCCAATAGAATTGAAAGCAGAAACACAAACAGGCATTTTATACCGATGTTCATTGCAGTACTTTTCACTTTGGCCAAATAGTGGAAACAACTCAAGTATTTAACAACAAATGCATGAATAAACAAGATGTGGTAAACATACAAACAGTTTGAACTCGGCGGTTCAAATCCACCAGCAACACCAGGAGAGAAAGGCCTGACAATCTGCTTCAGTGAATATTATGGTCAAGACAGTCCTATAGGTCGAAGTTCTACCCTGTAATGCGTGCCATCAGCAAGTTAGAATGGACTCAATAACAATAGGGGTGTGTTATTTTTTCCCTTTTCTCTTTTTTTTCAAAAGACAACAGGGCAGGACCCCTGGTGGCACAGATTGAGCTGCTAACCATTAAGGTCAGTAGTTTGAAACCACCAGCTACTCCATGGGAGAAAAATGAGACATTTTACTTCCTAAAAGACTACAGGGCTTCAAAAAACTCAGGAAAAATTCTATTATCTTTTAAGTGCATCTTAAAGTCCCTTGTATGTGGTATACACACAATAGAATATTACTCAGTCATTCTGACAAATAAATTACTGGTACACGTGACACTTACAAGCCTCGAAGACTGTATGCTGAATGAATTAAGCCAAACACAAATAAGGGAAAATGATATGATCCTGTTTATTGGAATGATCTAAAAGAGGCAAATTTATAGAGACCAAAGTTCCTTAGTGGTTACCAGTGGGGGCCAGGGGAATGGGGAAAAGCGGCATTGCTAGGGGGCACCGAGTTTCTGTTAAGGGTGATGGGAAAAAACTAGAAATGGAGAGTGATGATGGAATAACACAAACAAAATTACTGCTATAGAATTGTACATGTAAAAAAGTTGAAATGGCAAATATGTTGATATATATATATATATATATACCAATGGAAAGAGAAAAAAGAATAGTGGTAACGCCCTTTGTCAAACTCTGGAGACATAAATATTGCTTCCCAGTGAGAATCATCATAAAGAGCTTGTAATGAAAAGAATACAATCTAGCACATTATTCTTTGCATCATAAAACCAAAGTGCTCACTCGGAAAAGTCCTGTACTTTTAATTAAAGGGATATTAGTTAGGCTCTGAATAACAGGAAGAGGAAAGATTACTTTGTTAGGCTTAAAGAGCAGGTGAAACCATTAGGTTATGCAACATTTGTTTATTTCATAGGAGCTCAGGGAGTGTAATGGGTTCTGCGCAACGACAACAACAAAAAATATATGTGTATATATATATATTTTTTTTCTTTTAAGCAAAAGGGAAGAAATGTATTATAGCCCATATGGGAAGCCCTAGAGGGGCCCCAGCATCCCTTACTGTGTAGGCATGCCCAGGCAAAGGTTCACACCTTCAACTGTACCCCATGTCCCAGAGGGACTCCCCTTGAGCTGAGCCCCAAAGCCCCAGGACTGGCTGGGGGTGGGGATGCACAATATATTATAAAAAGTTTCAGTCAGCATGTTTCTTACCTCCTTGAATAGCAACACTTTTAACATCTCAAGATGTACATTAAGTCAAATATCCATAAAGGTTAAGAGGCTTGATAGTGACACATTTGTTCTACTACCAAATACTGTACTAATTCCTCGTTATATGTTTATGATTTTTGTTAAAGCAAGTCATTTGAAAGTCTGAGAGGCAGGGGCCATATTTTTCACAAGTAACTAAAGTTATGAGGGTTTTCCTCAACTACACAACACCCTAGCTCGTGGTATTTACTTAAGTGCTGTCTACTTTTTAATGTATTACTGATTTCAGCTGACACTACTCACTGCCATCAGTCAATGTTGACTCACAGTGACCCCTTGTGGGTTTCTGTGACTATAACGGTTCTTTTTTTAAAGTACAGTTTTATTGGCACATAATTTACATGTCAGACGATTCAATAGTTCAATCATATCAAGGAGAATTGTACAATCATTATCATATCAATTTTAGAACACCCCCCATTGTTAAATCACTTTCAAAATGAGTTGTGCAGTTAGTCAGTTCCGGTGCTTCCTCTACCCTCCAGACTGTAACTGGTTATGGGAGGAGAAAGCCCAGTCTTTCTCCTGCAGAGCGGAACTTTTGACCTCATAGTTAGCAAACCTCTGTATCCGCGTGGGCTCCTATGAAATAAACAGACCTCACATAACCTAATGGTTTCACTTAAGCCTATTTGCTAATACACCACAATGCTCAATCTTAAATGAATAAAAACAGGTGCAGTTTTGACTTTATTTTCTGATGACTGGGGGGACTACCAAGCTCAATCCATGACTTCTTAACTAAGGCTTATGCTTTTTTTATACAATTATGATCAAATTTAAAATTTTCAGATCATTCTTACACAAAGGGATTTTAAAAAAATGAACAGAATGATAGGACTGACTCAAAATATGAGACAATGAGGAAAGGAGAACAAGATTCACTCTGGGAACGTCATGAGACATGCACGGGACATGTATGGGTGTGCTGCACGCAAACACTTTCACTTCATGTCGTTATTTAAACACGTTTAAATTTCAGGCCTGTCCTTTGTGGAAAATAAGGTAATTTATTTTCACATCAATATTATGGATAGTAGTTATACTGTACAGGGAAAATACATCTATATTTCAACAAAGATATTTAGAAAAAAAAGAAGGCACTTACCACAACTTGTAGCACCTGTTCGTTGTGCAGTGAGGAGGAGGAGGAAGAAGAGGATGAGGAAGAGGAGGAGGAGGAAGAGGAAGAAGAGGAAGAAGAAGAGGGAGAGTCAGACATCATTTGTGCCAAAGTTTGCATCAATGTTTTTCCAAGGAGGAAAAAAGAGCTAAACATAGCAATTACGCCAAACACCATTCCAAAATTGAACCTGTCAAAAAGGGGAAAAATATCATAAATGGGCAATTTCCCACATTTTATGAACGACCACATTCATCAAATAACCACATTTCATAGCTTCAAAATAATGGTTACAAATCTCATGTCTTTCCTACCCGGACTTCACGTTTCGCTGAAGCAGGTACACTTGTCTATTGAAACCATTCTAATAATTTCTAAGTCTCTAATTTAAAAGACTAAAGATGGTTCACAATAAAAGGAGTGTCTGTTTCCTCTCTTATCGTTACCTCACTCCTCTACAAAGTTTCCTTGCGACCTTGTTCTCAGAGTTCCAAAAGCTTGTTCGATCTGACAGCCAGTCACCTTTTTCAGCTACCAATGCTATTTTTTGCAGTTTAATTTTAGTTTTAGTTTGTGGTAAATGAGTTTAAATATCAACATGGAAAGATACAATAATAGTATCTTCTGCTGTTTGGAAACTAAAAAGTTGTCCCCCTATAGTTGGGAGAAACCTATGACTTCTGCTAACTTACAAAAACTTTTTTTAAAAAATCGTGGCAAAGTATAACATAAAATGTATCATGTTATCTGCTAAGTGTTGATAAGCTGTGGTTTTCAAGGAACTTATCCATTTCATCTAACCTGGCAAATGTATAGGTGTGGAATTATTCACAATCATCTTATTTTGCTTTAAATGCCCGTAGAATCTGTAGACCTATTTTTCACTTTTGAGTTTTGGTTATTTGTGTTTACTTTCTTTCGTGATCGGCTAAAGCAAAGGTTTATCAATTTTATTCATCTTTCCAAAGAAATAACTTTTGGTTTTGCTGATCTTCTCTACTCTGTTTCTTTTCTATTTCATTGATTTTTGATCTTTGGAAATTCTTTCTTTCTAGTTTGTTTCCTTTGATTTGTTGCTGTGCTTCCCTGTAACGTTTTGATGATCTGATTGTTGGTATCTACCTATTCCACTTGGAATTAAATTTCAAACAAAAAGGACTTTTGGAAAACTTCCCTCCCCCATTGCTAGAAACTCCAACCCAGAACTGGTCAGTGTTAGGGTATCCTAGAGAGTAGTGTGAGCCCCCTCATTGTAATTATGATACTTAAATTTTTTTTTAATGTTTGCCAAAGCACAATGATGCAATCCTATAATATAAAGCCAGAAAAGTCTTTTACTGTCAACTTTAAAAAACTCAGTAGACCGAACAATGATTGAGTTAGATTGCTCTGTTAAAAAAAAAACATTCTTACTATCATGATGATTATTTTAAAGCAAAAAGAGACGATAGGTACCATTGGTAAAGCATTCTTGCCTTTCTCCGTCCCCAACTGTAAAAGGCACGATTGAAAACAGCAGTTTGCCATCTGATGTGGAAAGGAGAGATACTCAACCCGTTGTTTTCCAGCCAGTCTTCATAAGAATGCTTAAAATAGACAGATGACTGAAAGAGAAAGAAAAGTTCCACATCACTCAATTTTGAAGAACAATATATAATGTGTGAGAAAATCATGACGTGGTATCTACTCTAGGAAAACAAGGCACTGACTACCAAAATGTTTACAATTGTAACATTTTATGTTCCTCCTTGAGGATTCTACTGAAAAGGTCAAGACGAATGGGTCTGCTGAGGAAATCATCTGGCAAACCATGGCCCATGGGCCAAATCTAGCCTGTGGTCTGTTTCTGCACAGTCCGTGAGCTAAGAATGGCTTTATACTTTTAAAGGATGGTACAAACCAACCAACCATCCGTCTAAGAATATGCAGCAGAGAACTTGCCTGATCCACAAAGCCTAAAAGAATATGCAGCAGAGAACTTGCCTGATCCACAAAGCCTAAACTATTTACTATTTGGACCTTTACCGAGAAAGTTTGCTAATTCCAGCTTAAAACACCACTGTCCAACAGAAACAGAGCTCAAACCACATAAACCCAAGCCAGGATCATTGCCATCAAGTAGATTCCAATTCATAGCAATCCTATATAAGGTTTCTTAGATCTTCAGTGGGAGCAGACAGCCTCATCTCTCTCCTGTAGAGTGGCCAGTGGGTTTGAACTCCTGACCTGGTGGTTTGCTGCCTGTGTTAGACTGGGTTGACTAGAGAAATGAACCCAGAGAAAGCTTTATATCAAAGCGCAATTGTACATTGAGAAAACATCCCAGTCCGGTCCAGACCAAGTCCACAAGTCTGATATTAGCCCATATGTCCAATACTAGTCCATAAATTCCTCTTTAGACTCACGCAGCACATGCGCCGATGCCGAATGCAGGAAGATCACAGCCAGTCAAGTTGGCTCCAGTGGTGGTGAAAACATCTCAGCCCTGATGCAGGTCTCCATATGGCAACTTCTTCTCCAGGGATCTGGCTGCCATCAGCATGGCTCCATGTGGCTTGTCAACAGGAAATGACAAGCCGAGAGAGTATGTCCCACCTCCAGGGAGGAAGTTCCCAGAATCCTCATGAGAAGGCCATGCCCACAAGGAGGGATCACCAGGCTGTGACCTGATTGACAAAGTGACAGGCTAGACTCCATCCCTTCTTCTTATCTACCAAGTTGTCATGAAATTGTGTAACTACTGCACTGCTTAACCAAATGCCTCACCAGGATCCTTGTGAGCCACAATGTAACTTTGAACTTCCTAGGAGCCATATCTTTTAGAAAAGTGTGAAGTTGGTAAGATTAATTTCAATTCACTTCTTTAACCCCAATTTTTATCACTTTAACATGTAATTAATATGAAAAATTGAGATACTTCACTTTTTTGGCACAAAGTCTTTGAAATTGGCATGAACTTCACACTTACAACATGTCTGGATTCAGACTGATCCTGCTTTAAGTGCACAAGTTTTGAAGTCTTGCCACCATAGAAAAGGGGTCTTGTGTGATCATTTTAAAAGACCCCAACCAATGCAGTGTAAGGTCAGGTTAGCTGGAACCAGGGCTTTCTCTCGGCCTCTGAGCAACAACACTAAGAAGGTAGGTTGATTTTAATCACGTAAAGGTCCAACACTTATTACAGCTGTTTGTCTTAGTGACTTCTTTTCCGGTCTCTCCGGTTGGGGGGAAGGGGCGGTGAATACCAGCTTCTTGACAACTCTAACGAGCTCTTTCTCTTCCGTGAAGTTTGAAGTCCTAGACTAATGTAGAATTTTGAATAATGCCCAGTTGCTATATACCTGATACCGATCCCCATTTTCCACAGTAAGAGGAAGCACAGTAAGTATTCTGTCTTAGTCATGCCCATCCACCTACGAAACTTCTCTGTCCCTAGGATAGTTCAGCTCTATCCCAGTTATGAAAAATAACCTGAGTCTGAATATAGGTCTTCATTTGCCTTTGGAGCTGTACTGTAAGGTCTCTGTCTCGAGGCTTCTGGGGAAGTTTTAAAATTCTCCTTGTTTCCTGGCAGTTGAGAAAGAAGAGTTACACACCCCCTCAGCACATGTCTACAGAGGAAAGCCCACAAGAACAAAGATGAAATTGTAGGCTCTAAAAATCCAGGCCTTTTCATTCTGAGTAGCAGGTCTTTTGCTCAAAGAATATTGTTCTCTTAGAGAGCAGGGGCTGTCAACAAAATTAAAAGGACATCTTGATCACTTCACACATTTGACCAGAGATTACAGTGGTTTCTAAAGTCCTTTTTATTTTGGACTTTCTCCCATATGCAACATGAAGGCATCATGCAGCTTTTTAAAAAACACGAACAACAAAGACATTACTTAAAGCAGCACTGGTTTGGACTGCTTATAACCTCTAAGCATTATGCCAAGTACTTCACACCAGCGCATCTCAAACACCAACATTCACCTGGGGAAACGGGTAAGGGGTAGCTTCTGGTGCTACACGTCAGGGGCAAGGTTGGAGATTCTGCATTTCTAAAAAGCTTCCACTGCTGCTTCTCAAGCTGAGCAAGATGGTATGCAAATGGAGGCATAGCCAGTAATTGACCCAAAGAGCCTTTTGGCTAGGAAGTAGAAGAGCCCAGCCCTGCTTTAAATACTACATTGTATCATCTTCTCTGCTTCCCAAGAAACAAAGGCAAGAAAGCAGTACGAAGCCTCATTTCACTTGACTCTTAAATCCCAAACAATGCCAAATGATAGTAGTCCATTTAAAAGGTTTGCACGACATTAAGATCTTACCATTCACAACTGGAATGTTTATTAAACATTTGAGAATTCATGATTAGTTTAGTCCTCTGCGCGCTGGAATGCTAACCGCAAGGTCAGCCGTTCAAAACTACCATTCCGCTCTGCAGCAGAAAGACTAGCCTTCCTACTCCCAGAGTCAGTCTCAAACCCACAGGGGCAGTTCTCCTCAGTCCTGTCATGTCTCTAGGAGTTGAAATTGACTCACTGCCAGTGAGTCTGGAGTTTACAGTGGTTCCTGCCCCCTCCCCGCTCCCAACCATTCAATTCCAGTAGGTTGCTTGACGCTTGTGCTTGGATTTGCTGCCCTTCCCAGTGGAGGGTGTGGTGGGTAGAAAAAGAGATGTTAAGGAGATACAGGGGGCAAAGATTAGAGTACAAGCCTTTGCGACTTAGAGAGCGAGCCTTGATAGGGTATCGGGCTATGCACCGAGCTATTAACTACAAAGTCAGCGGTTCCAACCCACTAGCTATCAATGGGAGAAAGAGGAGGCAGCTGGCTCCCCTAATGATTTACAGTATTGGAACCCCTCTCGAGCAGTTCTACCTCGTCCTATAGGGCCACGATGACTCGGAATCGACTTGAAGGCAGTTGAGTTTGGTTTGGGGTTGGACGTTCTTTTAAAGTATGGTCCTAGAGCTAGCAGCACCAATGGCACTTGGAAACGTGTGTAGCAATGCCGGATTTGTGGCCCCGCCCCTGGCTGGCAGAATCAGAATACACATTTTAACCAGGTCAGATCAAGTTTGAAACTACCGCTCAAAATCACTTGATTCAGATTCATTCCAATACCGATCGTTACACAGGGTAGTGACCTTTGAGACAAAGAAGAAAAAGAACCCCTTTTCTAAGCAGATGCTGCATGTTCCTCCAGACATTGTGACTGCCAATGGACCTGCCAGAGCCCCGGCCTTCCCTAGTCCGCCATTGGCGACCCCAGGCAGAGCCCCGATTCAGGAGGGCGGCAGCGACAGCCGCGCTGGCCACCACACTCCTCTCCCCGCGGACCTTGCTTTATTGACTCCATGGGGCCGGGATACTGCACCGGAGGCTGCACGTGGGTAAGGCCACGTGGCTTTCAGGCCGAGACCCTGGCAGCTGAAAAGAAGACCTGGGGCCACGCAGGGCTTTGCATCTCCGACCCTGAGCCGCGCAGGCTTGGATCTCCAGCCCAAGGCCCTCACCTTCAGCACCAAGTCGGTCAGGTAAACGGCAGTCCAGCCGCCCACCACCACCACCAGCAGCGACACCGGGATCATGGCGGCGTTGGCTGTAGGAAGGCGAAGGCGTCTCCCTGCGATCCGAAAGCACCCCCACCGGGGTTGCACCTAGAGGCCCGGCATCCGGGCAGGAACCCAGTGACCCCCGGTTGTTTGCTGGAGGCGGTCTGGTTTCCCTCCGCACACTTCCGGCGGAGGCACTCGGCCGGCCCTCCGCCTACCGGAAGCCGGCGCGAGGACGCAGTTTAGTGACTCGCGGGCGCCACGCTTATTGTGTCAGCGGGACTTCCCAGGTCAGCTCTCCGGTGATTGGCCCGCTCGCGATTTCTCAGGCTTTGGCCCGCCCTGCGGTCGGCGCTCCATTCTCACGGCGCTGGTCTGGGGTGTGCTGTTCTTTTTAATCCCGTGACGGCGTGGGAGGGGTCCTCTGAAAGAGCAGGCGGCTGTGCCTCCTCCACCCCGCCATAGTTTGCCAGATGTAGTTCAGTTACCTTTATGTGTGCTTTGTTACTGAAATGTACGTTACACTTTGTGAAATCACTCATACTGAACTCAATTCCCCATCTCGATGAAGATTCGCCTCCATCGCCCCGAGTTCTTTCCTTCTGCTAACCATATTATGAGACATCCACATCCATGTCCATCATTAAATTAGATTATGTTTTCCATATCTTGCATTGAATAATTTAAGATCGGCGTCACAGTGATTTTTTTTTAAGATCAATTTTTTGGCCGTTTTTAACAGCTCTTTTTTTTTAATCATACAACTCTTATCACAATCATACATACATCAATTGTGTAAAGCACATTTGTACATTCATTGCCCTCATCATTCTGAAAACATTTCCTCTCCACTTAAGCCCCCGGCATTAGGTCCTCATTTTCCCCTCCCTCCCCGCTCCCCCCTCCCTCATGTTAACAGCTCTTATAACAATCCATACATCAATTGTATCAAGCAAATTAGTACATATGTTGCCATCATCATTTTCTTTTTTTTCTTTGAGTACATTTGTACATTTATTGCCCTCATCATTCTCGAACCATTTGCTTTTTACTTGAGCCCTTGGTATCCTCATTTTCCCCTCCCTCCTTGCACCCCTGCCTCACGAACCCTTGATAATTTATAAGTTATTATTTTGTCATGTTAAACTGTCTGATGTCTCCCTTCACCCACTTCACTGTTGTCTGTCCCCCAGGGAGGAGGTTACATGTACATCCTTGTAATCGGTTCCCCCTTTCCACCCCACCCTCCCTCCACCATTCTGGTATCACCACTCACACCACTGGTCCTGAAGGGATCATCTGTCCTGGATTCCCTGTGTTTCCAGTTCCTATCTGTACCAGTGTACATGCTCTGGTCTAGCCGCATTTGTAAAGTAGAATTGAAAGCATGATAGTGGGGAGGAGGAAGCATTTAAGAACTAGAGGGAAGTTGTACGTTTCATCGTTGCTGCACTTCACCCTAACTGGCTTGCCTCAGCACCATGGTATTGAAAAAGAAAGAAAAGTCCCAAACACCGGAATGTATTTTTGTTGAAATACACCTGGCTATATGTAGAAAATTTCCACGAACTTTTTGAAGCCACCTTGTTTATTGCACTAGAGCTGTAGTTGCCACCCTTTTCGGCACATTTGGATACTAAAGAACTTCCAAAATTCCCAATGCCCCGTCTGCATCTAAGACCAATGAAATCCGAATCCCTGGATGAGACCTAAACATCAGTATTTTTAAAAGCTCCTTACACCAGTGGCTCCTTGGAAGACAGATGAGCTGTTTTACTCCCATGAAGATTTACAGTCTCTGAAACCCACAGGAGCAGTTCTTTCCTGTTCTATAGGGTCGCTATGAATCAGAAATGACTTGATGGCAGCGTATTTGGGGAGTTTTCAGGTTATGCCGCTGTGCAGCCTAAGAATGAGTGGACTGTATGGGGCATTTTTTTACATTCTTCTACATCTTTAAAAGTTAGTGTTTTAATGTTTTTGGAAAAGCTTCATCATAATAACAAATACCATAATAGCATAATAACAAATGCCAAACTTATTGTGAATTGCCTGTGGCGTTGGCTCCCATGTACAACTGAACCAAATATCTTGCCCCAGCCCTCCTCTCATTCTTTGGTATGCTCCACTTTGGTGTTTCAGCCACTATTTTATTTGAATGCCTTCCAAACTAGAGGAGTTCTGGTGACCTAGTGGTTATGGGTTGGGCTGCTAACTGCCAGATCGGCAGTTCGAGATCACCAACTGCTCTGTGGGAACCATGCTTTCTACTCTGGTAAAGAGTAACCATCTGGTACTGCCGGTGCGAAGGTCAGGGACAAGATGGTGCTCAGGTGCAGGTCTCCCAGCTCATCAATCTCACCTGCTATACTCAGCCCTGTTCCTCGACGTGGCCTGGGGAGCCAAGCGCTACAGTTACAAGCAGCAGCAGCAGGCTGAACTGAAGCACTTCACTGGCAGAAGCCCAAGATGACATCATCTTAAAATGAGCCTCCCACGCACCGGCTCCCTGAAGCATTGGGAAAAATAAAGCCTTTCGCCATTGTATGGGGAGAAAAGAAGAGTTGCAATCTTGCAAACTCATAAGGGCAAAATTTTATCCTGTCCTTAGCGTTGCTATTAATCAGAATCAACTTGATGGCAGGGAATTTGGGTTTGAGTCTTTTCAACATACAGGGCTCATTTTCCAGCATCATATTGAACAATAGTCTGTTGAGATCCATAGGTTTTTCCTTGGTTAATGTTGGGAAGTAGATTGCCAGGCTTTTCTTCCTAGTGTGTCTTACTCTGGAAGCTCAGCTAAAACCTATCCACCATCGGTGACCATGTGGCTATTTGAAATAATGGTGGCATAGCTTCATAGACATACTCAAGCAACTAGAGTACCACAAACGGCCAGGATCATACCAAAATATCAAGAACATAATACTATCTTAAGAATAAGTGTCCAAAATTAAATGTACCATTTGACCCCTTTCAAAGTGAAAATATAGAACCTATATTATAGAAATTGCCTCTAATTTGCCTCACTTGCTCTTACTTTTCCTAAGTTTTTTTTCCCTAAAATGTTAATAATTGAAAATATAATTGCTTTTTCTCCAACCCCAAGAAACCTCAAGTCTCAGTCCTAAATCTTGCAAATCAGTGTAAATATGTGTTGTTATTGTTTCGATTTTTTTGGTCATGGGTACAGATTATAAGATATATATTCAAGCATTCTAAGATGTCTGTTAGGTTTCTGGGATGGTTTGCCTCGGTTCTTGCTTCTCAATGCTGAAAGAATTCATATGGCAGAAGCACTTTTCTTTTTTTAGCAGAAGCACTTTTGTAAATCCAAGTAATTTTCAAAAAATCATTTTATTGGGGGCTTGTACAACTCATCACAATCCATACATCCATCCATTGTGCCAAGCACATTTGTACATTTGTTGCCATCATCATTCTCAAAACATTTGCATTCTATTCGAGTCCTTAGTATCAGCTCCTCATTTTCCCCCTCCCTCCCCCATCCTCCCTCCCTCATGAACCTTTCATAATTTATAAATTATTATTTTTTCATGTCTTACACTGTCTGATATCTCCCCTCACCTACTTTTCTGTTGTCTGTCCCCCAAGGAGGGGGTTATATGTAGATCACTATGATCAGTTTCCTCTTTCTCCCCCACCTTCCCCTTCCCTTCCTGGTATCTCTACTCTCATTATTGGTCCTGAGGGGTTTCTCAGTCCTTGATTCCCTGTGTTTCCAGCTCTTATCTGTACCAGTGTACATCTTCTGGTCTAGCCGGATTTGTAAGGTAGAATTGGGATCATGATAGTGGGGGGAGGAAGCATTAAAGAACTAGAAGAAAGTTGTATGTTTCATCGGTGCTATACTGCTCCCTAACTGGAGCGTTCTCCTCCCTGTGACCCTTCTGTAAGAGGATGTCCAGTTGCCTCCAGATGGGCTTTGGGTCTCCATTCCACACTCCCCCTCATTCACAATGATAGGATTTTTTGTTCTTTGATGCCTGATAACTGATCCCATAGACACTTTGTGATCACACAGGCGGGTGTACTTCTTCCATGTGTGCTTTGTTGCTTCTCAGCTAGATGGTCGCTTGTTTATCTTCAAGCCTTTAAGACCCCAGACACTATATCTTTTGATAGTGAGGATCCATCAGCTTTCTTCACCACACTTGCTTATGCACCCGCTTTGTCTTCAGCAATTGTGTCAGGAAGGTGAGCATCATGGAATGCCAGTTTAATACAACAAAGTGTTCTTGCATTGAAAGAGTATTTCAGTGGAGGTCCAATGTCCATCTGCTACCTTAATACTAAACCTATAAATATATGCACATAGATCTATTTCCTTGTCATCATATATAAATATATTTACATATTTACATGCCTGTATTTAGACTTCTGTAAATGCCCTTTGCCTCCTAGTTCTTTCCTCTATTTCCTTTTACTTTCCTCTTGTCCCACTATCATGTTCAGCCTTCATTTGGGTTTCAATAATTCCTCTCAGTTACATTGCCATTCATCAAGCCCTACCAGGCCTCCTACACCCTCCTTGCCACCGATTTTGGATCACTTGTTGTTTCCTTGTCTCTGGGGTTGTTAAAATCCACTTCCTTTCTCCTGCCTCCCCTTCTTCCATGTCCCCCTGGAACTGTCGGTCCTGTTGTTTTCTCCTCCAGCTTGTTTATCCCACCTATCTTATCTAGATAGACCTTCGGAGATAATAATATGCACAAAAAACAAGACAGAGCAAAACAAAGTAACAAAAGAAAAGAAAACAACAATAGCAACAACAAAAAAAACAACAACAAAAAGAGAAAAGCCTGTAAATTGTTCAAGGTCTGTTAGTTGACCTTTAGGAGTGTTTTCTGATCTAGTCTGATGGGGTGTCGTGTCCTGGCCCCAAAGTCTATTTTTGGTATTCCCTGGGGACTTCGTTGCTTTGTTCCTCTTGCTGTTCTGTTGCACACCCTTAGTGTTTTGCCTCAGTGTGGGGGTGTCAGATTGGGCGCAATTTCCGCACTGTGTCTCCAATGTTGTCCCCTGTGGCACTATGGGTCAGTGAGGGAGAT